CATTTATGGCCTATGGTTCAGCAAGCTGACTACTGAGGACTTACTTTCCTGAAAGAAAGAGTGAAACTTTAATAAGAAAACTCTCTTTGGGGCAGTGAGAGGGCTGAACCAGCTGCACCAAAATGACTGTATTCATAGGAGATTTAAAGCCAACCATATCCTCATTTCTGGTGAAGGGCCTAGTGACCCTTACTGGCCTGTTCCATCTGCATAGTTTGGTTAAGCACGGACAGAGACATAGGGCTGTGTATGATTTCCCACAGTTCAGCACATCACTGCAGCTGTGGCTGAGTCCAGAACTGTTGAGACAGGATTTACATGGATATAATGTAAAGTCAGATATTTACTGTGTTGGGATTATACCATGTGAATTGGCCACTGAGCAAGTACCTTTCCAGGATATGCACAGAAAAAATGGATGAAAAAAATGTACTTAGAAACACTGTCTTTTGAAGGCTCATTCCCCTGAGGGCAGCAAAATGGTGAAAGAATTTAATGGCTCAAAAAATATATTGAAAGTATAAAAAGAAGAGTTAGTCACAGCTTTGGGGGAAAAAATTGAGAATAGGTGACACTAAATGTATCTGGATTAAAAACTCAGATGCTGTTACAGTAACTGAAAGGTCCTTCTTATAGCCCATTGGATATCAGTATTTTCCCTCAGTCAGAATCCAGAATGAAGAATTCTTGATCAGATACAGATTCTGGGATTGGAGAAAGTGTGCTTGTCTCCAGTGGAACTCACACAGTAAATAGTGACAGATTGCAAACACCATCCTCAAAAACTTTCTCCCCTGCTTTCTTTAGTGTGGTACAGCTCTCTTTGCAACAAGATCTGAGAAAAGGAAGCAGTTTACTGTCCCATGTATTCTTCAAACAGATGAAAGAAGAGAGCAAGGAGTCCATACTTTCACTGTTGCCTCCTGCTTATCATAAGCCATCAAGGGCACTGCCTCCAGCATCACCTTGGACTGAGCCAGAATGTGATTTTCCTGATGAAAAAGACTCAAACTGGGAAATTCTAGAGTTGCCAAATCCTTTTAGGTCCTATATACTCGACACTTTCTCCCTGCTGCTTTGCTTCTGTATTGCTAGGTACAAATACTGGAATTATACTGGAAAATACAGTAGGTGCACTGGAGAATCTCTTTTAAAACCACCCTATTCAAAGGAGCATGAGTCTGTGGCCCCTTCGGTTAGCTCAGAGTGCTATTACAATTCCAGGGAAACTTTAGAATTTTTAATCCAGATACATTTAGTGTCACCTATTCTCAATTTTTTCCCCAAAGCTGTAACTAACTCTTCTTTTTATACTTTCAATATATTTTTTGAGCCATTAAATTTTTCACCATTTTGCTGCCCTCAGGGGAATGAGCCTTCAAAAGACAAAAGACTTTCTAAGTACATTTTTTTCATCCATATTCTCTACCCTTTCTGATCAGCTATTGTTAGACAAACAGGTTAGTTTATCCTGGCATCAAACTCTTTTCTGGTAGCAGTGAGAATGTTTATACTTTCCCATTTTCTTATGTTAATGCTTATGGTAATATCAAACTGAGTCTCACTCTCATTAAATGATTCACTTGACATATATAGTGAAGTTCTGGTTTGCTTTTTTTATAGGGGCTAAAGTAACACTTTTCTACTTATGTAAATTATAGATCCTAGATTCATGCACCTATGGGAGCTCAATAAAGGTTTATTGAATTGAAAAAAAATAAAATGAAATTTTGAATCCTCCCACAGAAGTGGGAAAACTTGAGGTACTGCATTCTGTCCGTGTATGGTTCAATGCATCAGGGTTTTTTCTTGAAAGGGTGTGCTATATGCTGCTTGAAAGCAAAGAATGGAGACTGGTGAGAGAATATGAAAAACTGAGCATTAGATGTGTAGGCTTGGTGTCCATGTAGCATGTTATGAGGCTGCTATTAGGGTAGCCAGAAATCAGGCACAAGGGAGAAGAGAAATACCACAAATGAGAAAATTGCTGACAAGGCTGATTCTTTGCAGTATGCAGGAACCAGGAATGTCCACAGTTATGATTTGTTAGACAAAGGTAAATGATAAGAGAGAAATGGAAATTTAGAATTTCAAGTATATAATATGTACAGCTAGTTCTTTTTCTTTTTTCTTAAAAATATTTTATTTATTTATTTATTTTTAGAGAGAGGGGAAGGGAAGGAGAAAGAGAGGGAGAGAAACATCAATGTGTAGTTGCCTCTTGCATGCCCCCTAATGGAGACCTGGCCCAAAACCCAAGCACGTGCCCTGACTGGGAATCGAACTGGTGATCCTTTGGTTGGCAGGCCTGCGCTCAATCCACTGAGCTACACCAGCCAGGGCACAGCTAGTTCTTTGGTAGAAAACAGTGGGGAGTACTGTGTTGTAACACAACTGTATAAAGTTACTTTGACTTAATATGGCATCCAGAGATGTGGCTGCAGCTTTATGAGGAAAAACTCCAAAAAGCTTTCCCTTTGAGCATATTTAGAAGAGACACTCATGTGGAAATAGATTCAACTACTTGTTTACCTTGAATTAAACTATTATTAAAACTCCTAGCCGCCTCTCCCTTCTTGCCAGGAAGCCATAATATGTGTTGACTTAAGAATATCTAATCCTGTAGAGAATTTTTATAACAATGTATTTGAGACTTCTGGCCATGATGGAGGCATAGGTAGATACACTGTGCTTCCTCACACAACCAAAAGAAGGATAATAACCAATTTAAAAACAGAAAACAAGCAATTGCCAGAAAACTGAACTGTATGGAAGTCTGACAACCAAGGAGTTAAAGCAGAAACATTCATCCAGACTGGTAGGAGGGGTGGAAATGGGAAGCTGGGGTGGAGAGGATGTGTGGCAAGGAGGCAGCTGGCAGACCAGGTGTTCCATTTTCATGTGCAGACAACTGGAAAGCAACACAGACTGTGCGACCCAGGATTCCAGTGTGGGAAACTGAAGCCTTAAAACCTCTGGCTGTAAAAATCTATGGGGGTTGTGATAATAGGAGAAACTCCCAGTCTCACAGGAGAGTCTGTTGGAGGAACCCATGAGGTCCTATAACATATACAAACACACGCACCTGGGAATCAGCACCAGAATGGCCCAATTCGCTTGTGGGTAGCAGGCGAAGTGACTGAAAGTGGGGCCAGAGCTGAGCAAGCAGAACTGTTCCCTCTCTGACCCCTCCCCCACATACAGCGCCACAATGCAGAGACCCAGGTTGCCCCACCATAGTCAATACCTATGGCTCAGCCCCCTTCAATGTAACAGGTGTGCTGAGACAAAGAAATATGGCCCAAATAAAAGAACGGATCAAAACTCCAGAAAAAGAACTAAGCAATGAGAAAATAGCCAACCTATCAGATGTAGAGTTCAGACACTGGTAATCAGGATGCTCACAGAAATGATTGAGCATGGATGTAAAAATAAAGGAAAAAGTGAAGGCTATGCAAAGTGAAATAAAAAAAAAAAAACATATACAGGGAACTAACAGTAACGGGAAGGAAACCGGGACTCAAATCAACAATTTCAAACAGGAGGAAGAAATAAACATTCAACCAGAACAGAATGAAGAAACAAGAATTCAAAAAAAAATGAGGAAAGGCTTAGGAAACTGTGGGACAACTTTAATCGTTCCAATATCCAAATCATAGGGGTGACAGAAGGAGAAGAGGAAGAGCAAGAATTGGAAAACTTATTTGAAAAAATAGTGAAGGGAAACTTCTCCAGTCTGGTGAAGGAAACAGACAGGCAAGTCCAAGAAGTACAGAGTCCCAAAGAAGTTGGAGCCAAATAGGAACACACTGAGACACATCATAATTAAATTATCCAAGATTAAAGATAGGAAAAGAATCTCAAAAGCAGCAAGAGAAAAGGAGAAAGTTACCTATAAAGGAGTTCCCATAAGACTGTTTCCTTTCTCAAAGGAAACCTTACAGGCAAGAAGGGGCTGGAAAGAAGTATTCCAAGTCATGAAAGGCAAGGACCGACATCCAAGATTGCTCTATCCAGCAAAGCTGTCATTTAGAATGGAAGGGCAGATAAAGTGCTTCCCAGATAAGGTCAAGTTAAAGGAGTTCATCATCACCAAGCCCTTATTATATGAAATGCAAAAGGGATTTATCTAAGAAAAAGATGATAAAAAATATGAACAGTAAAATGACAACAAACCCAACTATCAACAACTGAACCTAAAACAAAAACAAAAACAAACTAACGGGACAAACAACTAGAACAGGAACAGAATCACAGAAATAGATATCACGTGGAGGATTATCAGTGGGGAGAGGAAGGAGGGAGAGTGGGGGAAAAGGTACAGGGAATAGGAAGCATAAATGGTAGGTACCAAAAAGACAGGGGAGGTTAAGGACAGTATAGGAAACAGAGAAGCCAAAGAATTTATATGTACAGCCCATGGACATGAACTAAGGGAGGGAATGCTAGAGGGAGGAGGGGTGTAGGGTGGAGGGGGATAAAGGGTAGAAAAAATATGAGACAACTGTAATAGCATAATCAATAAAATATACTTTAAAAAAAGTATGAGCCAAAATTGACAACAATTTCTGGGAAACAATTTATCAAATGCTCCTGTGAACTATTTTGAAGGATATTATACCTCTCCCTCAGAGAGTAATGTTATACTATAAATACTCTAGAGAGAAACTGCTTAAATGAAAGGACCAGAGATCACACTAAGGACAGGAACAGAGAGTCTACACTTTTGTGTTTTTCCTAAAAATGCCTGCATTTCAGGAAAATATTACTTAAGACAATGTGTCCATTATTACAGGGTTTCTCTTTTGTTACCAAAGACCATCAGAAATTTCAGAGCATAGAATGTGGGCAAAAAGCACCAAAGGAGGACATTGCTCTTCCTGGAGGAAAGAAACCATCACCTAAGTGAGAGTGATGCTCTCTAACACAGGCCCTGAAGTGCAGGAGCTGTTGCCAGCACATGCCAGAGCATGGTGGTTGGACCAACTTTTCCTACTTACATGGAACAATGGAAAGTGCCAACAGGGTTCTCACGACGAATGTCTTCATACTCCTCATATATCCCCTGCTTCTGCCTGGTGCTAACATAATTCATCAGCTCTTGGATGGTCATGGCATGGGGACCTGGAACATGCACTGAGTCCCAGTCTAAAGCAGGAGGGAGGGAGAGCAGGATGATCTCATCGAAGGGATCCGGGTGGCCATTCATCTGGGGTAGGAACTGGAAATTCCAAGTGGCGAGATCCATTTTGACGAACCCACCCAGGTTTTCTGGAAGGCACTCTCTGGGCAGGTGCTGGGTGACCTCAGAGGTTTTCAATATCTGAATCTGGAAGATCAGAAATAACCATGTGAGTATGTGGGGGGAAAAAGACATAGTGAAGATAAAGAACAGATGTCCTTCAGAGATGTAAAGTACAGCACAGAGAATGTAGTCAATGCCATTGTAATAGTTCTGTATGGTGTCAGATGAGTACTTGAAATATTTGGGGGAGGGTGGAATCACATTGTAAATAATGACTGTCTAACCACTATGCTGTACACCTGAAACTAATATAAAATAATATTAGGTTTGGATAATAGGATGAGATGGCCTGAAATACTTGATATAGTTGTCAAAGTAGACAGTCCTGAGATTAAAGTCCTATGAATTTCTCAGACAATTCCCATAACGTGTATCAAATTCACTCCTGGAATTAGGGGCTCTGTTATATGCCTTCTTAAAGAAAGGTAAAGTGAACAAAGGTATTATTTTATACTATTAGCAAGGCGTCCCAGTATCATTTGAGGCAGGTATTCACCTTTTGACTACCAATAGTGCATAGGTAATGGTTATTTTTGTCAACTTTATACTACGTCTATTAGCTTTTGCTTTACTCATAGATTGGTATGGATGTTCTCAAAGATAGGTTTCTATGAAAGTAAGATAAGACCAACCACCCAAACTCAGAGTAGTCCAGGAAAAATGCTAGAGAAGTCATAGTAATACCTAATTCTGCTCTCTGCTGGAACACAGCCATACTGGACCATATTAGCCTAGTTGGTTGTTCTTGAAATCCATGAGGAATGAAGGTGCTGATCTCTCTTGTTGTTGCCTCTTCCTGGAATGCCCTCTTTGAGGACAGCTTACAGCACGAGAAGCCCATCTGCCCAGGCAATGTTCTCCTCCATGCTCCTGCAGAACCACAGTCCTCCACACTTGTCTATCTGTGTCCCCTATCAGAACCACAAGCACCTCTGAGGTAAGGACTGTCTTGATCAACTTTTCATTCCTAGGGCCCAGAGCCTGGACTGTAAAGGTGTTCAATATATTTTGAGTTTATACATGCCTTTATGCTTGTATATAAAAGTGCAAGAACTTGCCTAAGGAGTCTTCTCAAAGAGTTATACTAGGAAAGATCTCCTATTCTGAGTCACTAGATCTCTAAGCAGTTCTACAGAACCAAACATCTTCAGTTTCCTCTCTCAACCTCAAGTCACCCCAGCTATAAAGATCTGCATTGTTATTATTCATACAGCCTCATAAAATCCTTTGCTACAAAAATCTGATAATATTTCACAACTTTATTATCTTATCCTATCATTAAATGTTTCAGATGCCCTTTCTTTCAATGGTAGAAATGAATGAGTAAAACCATAATCTTTCAGTCCTGGAACATTCAGGGCTGATGAATGTTCCAGCCCTTAATTTTGACGATAACAAAATTAAGATAATTTTAGATAACACTTCTGAAGTTAGGAAGCAACAAGCTGTTTTAAAAGAAAATGTCTGGAATATAAGTAGAGACAGAGTGAGAGACTCTCCTCTGCCCCACGTGGTGGTCAAAGGACTGAGTGGTATTTCCAGTTGAACAAATTCAAACACCAGTTCAACTAATGCAATTATATTACATGTTGTTAAATATTAAAGGCCTGTTATAGCAATAGGCTACATTTTGGTAGTAGCTATCACTAAGATACTGATGGGATACATTCCTTCAGTACCATGTTTATGCAAAGTGCTATGACGGGGGTGTACTCAACATAAAGTCTGTCCAGTTCCTGACTTGAAGGAACTTGTAGTACAGTGGGAGAGCCAGCCTATGCTGAGCTGAGAAAGAACAAAGCAGAGAAGACACATGAATGCACTGACAGAAGCAGAAAGTGCTCTAGCAGACAAGACAGCAGGATGGTTTTTGAAGGCAGAAAATTAATTGGTAGGTTTCAACAGCAGGAATGGGAATCTATCTATCCACCTCCAAATAAAATAAAGCTAGCTTGCCTTACCCTCTCACGGACTTTGTCCTTCAGGAGGAGGCTGATAATGGAATAGGGCACTCGGAACCATATGGGGGCTCCCACAATCAGCACTTTCTTCAAACGAGCTGGAAATGCTCCCTGTGGAGAACACATGTGAGGATTTCAAGATACCGATCTGGGCACTGGGCACTGCAACAGAACCTAATGGAAGCTGTGACTATTAGGCCCAAGGTATAGGTTTTCTGAGCTTCTCTCCATTCTTACCCAGCAGGGGGAGTCTGTAGCCTAATTCAGGTTTCACTTGAGTAGCTGAAGAAAAAGTAGTTTAAAAAGAAATTAAAAGCCGATTACCTTTAAAAGTAATGATGTTATATTCTTGTAGATATAAGCTTTATAGATCAAAAACTATTTTGACTTATCAGCATATGATGGAGGACCCCCCAAAATGAATTTATTTATAAGAAATCATTTATTCTTACATGTTTAAACTTCAGTCACCTTTGAAGTACTCCCCATTTCATGCAATACATCTATGGAAATGTTTTTTTCCAGTGCTAAAAACAGTTTTTGAACACATCGATTTTGATGCCTTTTAGTGCCTCTGACTTTTTTTGTTTGTTTGTTTCACCTCTTCCACATCTTCAAAATGTTTCCCTTTGAGGACTTTTTTCATCAGGGAAACAAAAAAATGTCAAAAGTTGGTATGGGCGAGATCCGGTGAACAGGGTGGGTAGGGCACAGGAATCGTGCTGTTTTTGGTCAAAAACTGAACACTCAGCGCAGTGTGGGCAGGTGTGCTTGTAAATCACCCATCATGAAATGGGTACACATGTTGAAAGAGTTTTCAACAAAAATTCACTAAAGCCAAACACAACCTCTCACAACAACACAACAGCAGGTATACAGACACAGACGGCTTCCTAGAACACTTACCTAGAAAGAAGAAGCCTGTACTAAAGGGGCCTGCCTTCCAGAAGATAATTACGTTTTTTTTTGGAGGGGTGCTCTCTCTGATATGTGTGTATCCTTAAGTTTTGCGTATTAAAACTTTAAGGAAAAATTAGATCATGAATCAACTGAATATGAAAGAAACACTTCTCTCATAATTTTACTTTTATTCTGGTATCTGTGTATTTTTAATTTTTTTTTACTGAACTCTTTATCTATGTATTCATTTATTTAATTGATAAATACAATCTAGTGGGCCCAGGTGCAAATGAGGTCCAAAAGAAAAGATGATCTGCACGAGGCATAAGAATGAAAAACAATGACTTTGTAATCCAACGCTCTAGGTTTCTTTTAGTTTCTCAGTATCTCAGCCCTTCTCATAGGCAGAGATACCATGTAATATTGGCAACCTAATGGAGAAGAAATTGTTCCCAAGGAAATAAAAAAATAAGAGAGGAAACTACAGCTAAATATCTTCTATCACTTTGTCCCTCTTCTTTTTCGAAAGGCTGAGTCTTAATTTGACATCACGCTGTGGGTACACTTCAGTTCTATGAATTTTGGGGTCTCCAAACATTCCCTATAGAGAATATACAGCATCCAGAACAAAGTTCTCCAAAGGCCTCTTCACTAAAGTCTGAAAAATTACCTTTCATTTATCTTTCCTGAAAGATGCAACAATTTATTTTCAGGGCCTAAATATATATGGCCAAGGCCCCTTTAACAGCCAGATCAAAAACCAGTCTCAAGAAACGGCTATGTTTCCACAAAATGATAAATAGAAAGTGGAAGCCATTACCTCTGCTTTCAGGGCAAAGAGATACAGACTTAGACCTAGTTCTGTAAAATGACTTTTTTGGCACACAGATACTGCTGATGTAACTTAGTAACACCTTCTAGAAGGCATCTGGCAGTATATATGGCCTTAAAAATGTGTATCCTCTGATTGGGTAATTCCATTTCTGAGACTCTATTCTAAGGAAATAATGAGAAATACAAAGATTTATAAATAAAAATGTTTACTAAACTTTTATCTCATCTGGGGAACACACAACCAAGGTATGTGCCCCAACTGGGAATCAAACCCACAACCTACTGGCAGATAGGATGGTGCTCCAACCAACTGAGCCACCTGGCCAGGGCTATACTTTTATTTTTGACAGTTAAAAATAATACTTTAAAACTGTAAATAATATATGTCGGAAAATGGGTAGTGGCTAACAAAAATGGTGTATCTCTTAATTAAGACTGCTATTTAAAATAAAGATTTCAAAGATTTTTTAGGCTTCCAGCCAAGATGGAGGTATACGTAGATATGCTTTGCTTCCTTGCATAACCAAAAGGATAAAAAATTACAAACTTTTACAGAAAAAAGATTATAAAAATTATATCAAAAGCTAAATAGTTTACTTCTTATAAGTGGGATCGTGAGTAATTTTAATTCTATTCTTTACATTTTATTTTCTATAATACTTTGTATTATTTTTATTTTTTTACAATCTTATTTGAAATGTTTATATTCTTTATTCCAGTAGTTCTACTTCTAGAAATTCACTGCAAACAAATTATTTAATGTACAAACAAAATACAGATATAAAAATGTCTGTTAAAAATGCTTATTATAAGAAATTTAAAAGTCCAACAACATAGAAATGGTTAAATAATTTTCAGTAAATACAGGATAGAGTAATACTCAGCAATTACAACTGCTCACAAAAAAGATGGAGCTTATTGTATATGAAAATTATATAAACATAATTAAGACTGTATTATAAAACCTCCAGAAGTGCCATACACCAAAATGTAAACTGGTTATTTCTGCATGATAGTATCAAAGGTAATGTTTCTTCTTAATGCATATTTGCAGTTGTCCAACATTTTCCACAATCAAATTTTGTCTAATTATAATAGTATTTTAAACAGCAAACTGTATATATGACAAAATAAGCCCCCCTATAAATAATAAGCATGAAAGTATAATGGTGAACACCTGAGTTACAACAGCAGCTGTGCACACACAGCACTCACACACCCTGTCTGCTCATCCTTCTCCCTCCCTATAACTCACTGGTCTTAGAAAAAAGATTATTTATCCTTGGTGTATGCTATGTTTTTATAAATGTATGTATATATTTTTAGAAATCTAAAAAACATGCAAGATAAGTAACTTTAAAACTTTATTGAATGGCATAACAAAAAGACTTTTAAGAAGCTTAGCATTTCTGAATGGGAGAATAAAATACTATAAAGATGTCAATCCTCCCTAAATTAATTTATTAATTCACTATATTGAAATAAAATCCCAAAGTGTTTTATTTCATAAAATTTGACTAAATGACTCTAAAGTTCATCTAATCTAAAGATAACAAAATTTAAAAAAATTTTTTCATCAGATTTATAATTTTGAAAAAGTTACTTCTGGGGAATGGCTCTTGGGTGGCTAAGGGAGGGGAATCAGAGACTTTTCCTTAAATTGTTTTCATAATTAAGACAACTAGTTGTAAACTTCATTTTAAGTATGCATGTTATATATATCATAAACACTTGAATAAAAGCACATGAAAGTATATATAAAGTACTTGTAAAACAGTGAAAACTACTTAGAAATAAAAGATTATGAGAAAGCTTATCCTAGAAGATATTAAACTTTATTATAAGGCTGCAATAAATAAAACAGTGCATATATTAGCCTACCTGGCTAGATAAATAGGACAGGGAGCCCAGAAATAGAAACACCAACTATACAGGAATCTAGTACAAGATAAAGGTATTGTCCCAAGTGAGTAGGAAAAATCTATTAATTAGTAAATGTTGCCAATATAACTACTTGATAGCAAATTATTTTAACTATATTATATATCAAATATAAATGGTATATTATTAAATATAATACATATACTATAGCATATAAAAATTACAATGAAAAATAAAGAAAATAGTATGACAATAGACACCATAAAGTTGAACAAATCATACACTGCAAAAAGTGCTGGTAACATGTACTTAATAATATTTTTTTTTAATGTTTAAAAATGTTTACTGATTTTACAGAGGGGGCGGGGGGGAACATCAATTGCATGTCTCCTGTACTTGCCCTGATCAGAGATCAAACCTGCAACCATTCGGTGTATGGGAGAACACTCCAATGGAGCCACAATAGCAAGGACCCTAATGATATTCCTAATAACAAGTCTTATAAACCAGTAAGAGAAATACTTCAATAGGAAAATGGGTAAAGCATATAAAAAATTTTTAAATAAATAATTAGCCCTGGCATGTGTGGCTCAGTGGACTGAGCACTGGCCTGTGAACCTAAAAGTTGCCAGTTCTATTCTGGTCAGGGCACATGCCTCAGTTGCAGGCCAGGTCACCAGCTGTGGGCATGTGAGAGGCAACCAATAGATGTTTCTTTATCACATCAAAGTTTCTCTCCCTCACTTCCCCTCTCTCTAAAAATAAATAAATAAAACCTTAAAAAAACATGAATATGATTAAAATCTGAATGATAAAATCAATGTTGATGAGATTAGTCAAAAAAGGAGTTAATAGGAGTGTAAATTTGAACCAAGTTTTGAGGGTTATTTGGCAATATTTATCAAAATTTCAAATATATCTGGCTGGCGTAGCTCAGTGGATTGAGCGCGGGCTGTGAACCAAAGTGTCGCAGGTTCGATTCCCAGTCAGGGTACATGCCTGGGTTGCAGGCTATAACCCCCAGCAACCGCACATTGATGTTTCTCTCCCTCTCTCTCTCCCTCCCTCTCTCTCTCTCTCTCTCTCTCTCTCTCTCTCTCTCTCTCTCTCTCTCTCTCTCTCTCTCTCTCCCCCCCTCCCTTCCCTCCCTGAAAATAAATAAATAAAATCTTTAAAAAAAATTTCAAATATAGGTACTCTTAGACTGTACAAATTTACTTACAGCAATTTACCCTGAAGAAATGATTGGTCAAATATGCAAAACTATATGTAAAATGGCGTTCACTGCAGCCTTTAGAATAACCACCCACCCCTAAAAAAAGGCATGTACTTCATTTTTCTGCTCCAAATATCTGCAACCATTAAAAAAAGTGAAGAATCCCTGGCTAGTGTGGCTCAGTGGACTGAGTGCCAGCCTGTGGAACCTAAGGATCACTGATTCGAATCCTAGTTGGGGCACATGCCTGGGTCGTGGGCCAGGTCCCCAGTGGGGGGCG